TGTGCGAGTGAGTGTGAGTGAGAGTGTGAGAGTTTGAGAGTGCGCGTGTGAGGGTGTGTGTGTGCGCGAGTGAGTGTGAGTGTGAGAGTGAGTGTGAGAATGAGAGTGAGAGTGTGTGAGAGAGTGTGTGAGAGAGTGTGAGAGTGAGACTGCGCGTGTGAGTGTGTGAGAGAGAGCATGTCTGCTTGAATGTGGCCGAATCTGAATGTGGAGGTTTTTAACCCTCTGTGTTTTGCACCATGTTTTATTCTTTAATTACTGGAGATTGCTCAACATGTTTTTATTTCCAAACCAAATCAATCAAGATTAAAAACATCGATCAAAGACGCCTGTCAGACTCTGAGTGCTTCTGTTGCATTTGAACTGTGATTTTTAAAGAAGTAGTTCACCCAAAAATTGAAATTCGCTAAAAATGTACTCACTCTCAGGCCATCCAAGATGTAGATGAGTTTGTTTCTTCATCAGATTTGGAGAAATGTAGCATTGCATCACTTGCTCACCAATGGATGTGAATGGGTGCCGTCAGAATGAGAGTCCAAACAGCTGATAAAAACATCACAATAATCCACAAGTAATCCACAGCACTCCAGTCCATCAGTTAACATCTGGAGAAATGAAAAGCTGCGTGTTTGTAAAAAAAACAAATACATCAAGACATTTTCCATCCATAATAACGCTTCCTCCAGTGAAAAAGTGCATCTCCTGTTGTCTCTCACATCAAAATCCAGCCACTTATTTGTTTGGAGCTGTTTTGGCTTGTAAACGGTGCTTGATCTGTGCAGATTTCTCTCCTGATTCAGTCCAGATGACTTTTTCACTGGAGGAAGCGTTGTTATGGATGGAAAATGTCTTGATGTATTTGTTTTTTTTACAAACACGCAGCTTTTGTCTTCTCCAGATGTTAACTGATGGACTGGAGTGCTGTGGATTACTTGTGGATTATTTGTGATGTTTTTATCAGCTGTTTGGACTCTCATTCTGACGGCACCCATTCACAGCAGAGCACACTGGAGGAAGCGTTGTTATGGATGGAAAATGTCTTGATGTATTTGTTTTTTTTACAAACACGCAGCTTTTGTCTTCTCCAGATGTTAACTGATGGACTGGAGTGCTGTGGATTACTTGTGGATTATTTGTGATGTTTTTATCAGCTGTTTGGACTCTCATTCTGACGGCACCCATTCACATCCATTGCTGAGCGAGTGATGCAATGCTACATTTCTCCAAATCTGATGAAGAAACAAACTCATCCTAATCTCGGATGGCCTGAGGATGAGCACATTTTCAGCAAAGTTTCATTTTTGGGTGAACTATTCCTTTAAGAAGGGTTTTTATGCATCAAACACACGTATTTATTCTTTTTTCTGAATGTTTATTAGAATAATATTAAAGTGATAAACTTTATATTTGTGTATAAAACATATGTTCTGGTCTGAATCCAAAAACAAAGATTTACTCTTTTAAATCAAGGTGATTTTAATTTATTCAGTGGATCAATAAAAAATAAAAAACACATGACGAACATTCAGCTGTCATCTTTACATGCAATAAATGGCGACATAAATGACAACGACTGAAACGAGTGACCGTTGAATCATAATAGAGTCTTAAACTGTGAAAGCTGTGAAGCCATGTCAGAAGAAAATTACTGTCAGAAATCATTTTTGATTGAGTGACTATGTTCAGAACAGAACCATCAAACTACTTGCTTATTGTTGCTGCAGTATGTAGTATGTTTACTGTGCACAGTATGCTGCTTTTTTCTTTGCATTGCATGACCAACTACATTCATCAAAATGTACACACTGCACAGGATAATGCATCCCTCAATGCAATGCATTTAACTTGAGCTTTCACTTTTCCAGTGTGATGAATGAGTTAGAAATCTGACATCTTTGACTGACATCTTTATAAAAATTTTGATTTTAAATGCAAACAACCTTAATAACTTCCAAGACAACACTGGAAGACTTGAAATGGCTTACGCATGAAATAATGCATACTATTTCACTTAGTATTTTTTTAATACTCTGCTATATCCAGTTATAAGCAGCAAACTAGCCTTTCATTCTAAACACAGCCACTGTTATTCGAGACAGTGATCATGAAAACAGTGTTTAAGGGTAGTTGAGATGTCAAGAATATTTTATTTACTTTGTAGCATTTTTTTTCTAATTCTTGTCTAATTATTAACTATTTCACTGTTCTTATATTAAGGGAAAAATACATGGTATATTGTATTAATATTTGTGTGTGTGTGTGTATATATATATATATATCACGCACTACAGAAACTAAGTGAAGTAATTTAAATGAACTGCATAAAAAAAGCAAAAAACTAAATTTTTAGAAACCGTTTTGTATTATGATAGTAAATTTACACTCAAATAAAACAAAAATAAAAAATGCAAATAATAGGTAAAAAAAATGTAAAATGTGCATGTTTCTGCATGTTATTATTTCAACTACCCTTAAGCTCTTTTACCAATTTCTAATGATGAAAAACACAGAAACAGACATTTTCAGATTCCTGCTGCAATGAAATTTGTTCTCTATATAAAATAATGATTCAAATGCACGTCTCACATACATGAAACAAAATGCATTAAGGTGCATAATAATGTTATGGCTAAATATTTGATCATTGTTTTACATTATATTGCTGAACTTCTTTAATATTTACAAATCTCGAGTTCACAATTGTTGTGCAAGTGCATCGGCTTGAATTTACGCTGCTGCAAAATAAAGTTACAATTCTGTTCCACAATCTGAGGTTTGTTTCGTGATACACAAACATTTAATCAGCACCAAAACCTCTCGAAATGGTTCAAACCGAAGCCTCTTCATGAGTGTGTTTTCTTCCACCTCTTTGCAAAGTCTCACACTAGGTGAAATTTCTTTCTCCTAAACTTCACATCTTCTGTCTTAATTGGGGAAGCGAGCTGATTGGTTCTGCATCGGACTGCAGGAGGGTGTGGCAGTGCTCAAGAGCAGCTGATTGGCTGACAGACATCCGCGTCTGGAGAGTCCCTGAGTGATTGGTCGAGGAGGTCACCGTGGCATTACCGATCCTCTGCTGTCTTCTGATTGGTCGCCTGCTCTTCCCGCTCTCTCTTTTGCCTGCTGAAGAATCCCAGCTGTGGATGAAAGAGAAACAGTGACTTGTTTTGACTCAAATAGAGGAAGAGTCCGGGGAGATTTGACCTTAAACAAACCCTAAAATAAGTGTACATTTAATATATGTAAATTTAGCTCTACTTCATCTAGAGTAAAAGAGAGCGGCAAGCATATGGACAGAATTTAAGCCTGGCTCTGGATAAAAGGGTTGATTTAAGCAAACATAAAGCACGTTTGTTAGCCTAGCAGCTAAAAATCAGTGCTATTTTAATATTATTTATTCTATTATAGCATTTATTTATATTTTGAATTAGATTTTAATATTTTCAGTTTTTGTAATTTTGTTATGTGCTTTTATCTTTTTTTTTCTCTTTTTTTTTGTATTTCTATTTATTTTTATTTAAGTTTTAGTAATTTTAGTACTTTTTTTATTTAAGTTTTAGTAATTTTGTTATGTGCTTTTACATTAAATTTTTTTTCTAGTATTTCTATTTATTTTTATTTAAGTTTTAGTAATTTTAGTACTTTTTAAAAGTTTTTGTAAGTTTGTTATGTGCTTTTATCTTTTTTTTTTTTAGTA